CTGTTACCTCTTTGCTGTGCTGTTGTTCTCTGTATATTTATATATATATTGGTTACATCTTTTTTCTGTAAATAAATATTTTTATTGCACCCTTTTGACCTTTTAGTAATAAAATCTTTCCTTCTGAAAGTGTTGAACTGTTTCTATAGCTCTTTATTGCAATTTACGAATTTCTGCCTCTAAAAAGAGCGCTACTGTGTTTCTTTAACCCTCTGTATAACCGGCCTGTGGTGACCGTGTTATACAGACGATTATCCCAACCATCATAGTGTTATAGCTGATATCGCCGAGTTTCCTCTTTCTCTGTACAAAAAGGAGGTGGTGGCAGTATGAAGGGTTAATTGCGTAATTAACCTGACCCAGTAACAATCACTCTCAGGCTGCTGGTACATAGATTGTAGTCCAATTAGCTGGAAAATTGTGCAGGGTGCAGCTGGGTGTGGCATTGTTACACAGGTGACATCGCGGTTTTAGATTAGCTAGTTCTTTGGTCACGAGTTTGGTGAGGAGGTCTGGGGTCTGACGCCGTATTCATCACATATTGGTGGCAGCGATTGTGGGATTGTCACACCTGCAGTCTCTGATCATCTCTTGTATCATGCTAATAGTCTCTGATCATCCCTGATATCATGCCCGCAGTCTCTAATCATCTCTCATATAATGCCTGCAGTGTCTGATCATCTCTTGTATTATGCCCACAGTCTCTGATAGTCTCTTGTATTATGACCGCAGTCTTTGACCATCTCTTGTATTATGCCCCCAGTCCCACAGTCTCTGCCCATCTCTTGTATATTGCTCATAGTCTCTGATCATTTATTGTATTATGCCCTCAGTCTCTGATCATCTCTTGTATCATGGCTGCAGTCTCTAATCATCTCTTTTATTATGCCCGCAGTCTCTGATCATCTCTTTTATTATGCCCCCAATCTCTGATCATCTCTCATATTATGCCCAAAGTCTCTGATCATCTCTTGTGTCATGCCCGCAGTCTCTGATCATCTCTTTTATTATGCCCCCAATCTCTGATCATCTCTCATATTATACCCGCACTCTTTAATCATCTCTTGTGTTATGCCTGCAGTCTCTGATCATCTCTCATATTATGCCCAAAGTCTCTGACCATCTCTTATGGGCAAGCCCACAATCTCTGACATCTCTTGCGATAATTCCACAGTCTTTGACTATATCCCTCTCTGTGGCCCCTATCTCTGACACTGAATATTCACTAAGTATTATGTATGGCCCTTTGGTAATGTCGGGGGGCCACACACAAGGTCCACCATATCAAGAACATTGACCACCACTGCTCTCTCTACAGAACGGGAAGCATCTATCCTTTGAAAATGTAAAACATACAATGACAATAGTTTTACTGTGCACCATTTTTGGGGCTTTTGGATAAGCAAGACTGTTGTTATAGGGAAAGGACAGGGAAAGATGACAAACTGCAGGAGAGATTAGAGCCAGATAGAAAACTGTGCTGTTCATAGTACTGTCTGTGCCAGTGACAGGTTTGATTTCTAGATTTTCAGACAATCTCCCCTTTGCTGTCTTTTCCTCCCCTTTAGGTTCCATTACTTAAAGACACAATGCCCCACCCCCTCCCTATTAGGTCCCAATTACTTAAAGACACAATGCCCCATCTCATCCCTATTAGGTCCCAATTACTTAAAGACACAATGCCCCATCTCATCCCCATTAAGCCCACTTCCATCAAGACACCAAACCCCATCTCCCCATTAAGCTCCAATTCCTTGAAGACACAAAGCCCCATCACCTCCCCCTTAGACCCCAATTCCTTGAAGACACAAAGCCCCATTTCCTGCCAATTATTAAAGAGACAATGCCCATCTCCTCCCCATTAAGCCTAATTCCTTCAAGACACCAAGCCTCATCTCCTCCCCATTAAGCCCAGTGCCTTGAAGACACAAAATCCCATCACCTCTTCATTAAGCCCCAATTCTTTTAAGACACAAAGCACCATATCCTCCCATTTAGACCCCAATTCTTTGAAGACACAAAGCCCCATTACCTCTCCATTACTTAAAGACACATCACCCCATGACCTCCCTATTAGGCCCCAATTACCTAAAGACACAATGCCCCATCTCATCCTAATTAAGCCCCATTTCTTCAAGACACCAAGCCCCATCTCCCCATTAAGCTCCAACTCCTTGAAGACACAAAGCCCCATCACCTCCCCCTTAGACCCCAACTCCTTGAAAACACAAAGCCCCATTACCTGCCTATTATGTCCTAATTACTTAAATATACAATGCCTATCTCCTTCCCATTAAATCCAATCCCTTCAAGATACCAAGCCCCATAACCTTCCCATAAAGCCCCAATTCCTTGAAGACACAAAGCTCCATCACCTCCTGTTTACACCCTAGTTCCTTGAAGACACAAAGCCCTATTACCTCCCCATTAGGCCCCAATTACTTAAAGACTCAGTGCCCCATCTCATCCCCATTAAGCCCCATTCTCTCAAAACACCAAACCCCATCTTCCCATTAAATTCAAATCCTTGAAGACACAAACCCCCAACACCCCCCCCTTAGACCCCCAATTCCTTGAAGACACAAAGCCCTATTACCTCCCCATTAGGCCCCCTATTACTTAAAGACACAATGCCCCATCTCATCCCCATTAATCCCAATTCCATCAAGACACCAAGCCCCATCTCCCTATTAAGTTCCAATTCCTTGAAGACACAAACCCCCAACACCTGCCCCTTACACCCCCAATTCCTTGAAGACACAAAGCCCTATTACCTGCCTATTAGGTCCCAATTAATTAAAGACATAATGCCCCATCTCCTCCTCATTAAGCCCAATTTCTTCAAGACACCAAGTCCCATCATCTCCTCATTAAGCCCCAATTCCTTGAAGACACAGAGCCCCATCACCTCCTCCTAAGCCCCAGCCTCTTGAAGACACAAAGCCCTATCATCTCTTCCTATTCCCCAATTCCTTGAAGACACAAAGCCCCATTACCTGCCTGTTAGGTCCCAATTAATTAAAGACACAATGCCCCATCTCCTCCCCATTAAGCCTAATTCCTTGAAGACACAAAGCCCCATCACCTCCCCGTTAATCCCCAATTCCTTGAAGACACAAAGTTCCATCACCTCCCCCTTAGACCCCAATTCCTTGAAGACATAAAGCCCCATCACCACCCCCTTAAGTCCCAATTTCTTGAAGACACAAAGTCCCATCACCTCTCCATTAAGCCCTGATTCCTTGAAGATACAGCCCCATTACCTGACTGTTAGGTCCCAATTAATTAAAGACACAATATCCCATCTCCTCCCCATTAAGCCCAATTCCTTCAAGACACCAAGCCCCGTTACCTCCTCATTAAGTCCCAATTCCTTGAAGACACAAAGCCCCATCACCTCCCCCTAAGTACCAAATCATTGAAGACACAAAGCCCCATCATCTCCTCCTAAGCCCTAATTCTTTGAAAACACAAAGCCCTATCACTTCCCCATTAAGCCCCAGTTCCTTGAAGACACAAAGCCCTATCACTTCCCCATTAAGCCCCAGTTCCTTGAAGACACAAAGCCCTATCACCTCCCCATTAAACTTCATCCACTTTTTTCCAGAATACTGAGATGACAAACCTGTCTTGGAAGCCACCTTTGGAATGTTCAAGTAAACAGGGGTTCCCATCTTCGAGGGGGTGGTAAGGTCAGTTGCTGTGTTCAACTGAATCTCTCCAGAATTCGGAGTGCAGGGTGCAGGAAAAGGAAGCAGTGATGACAAATAATACAAAGAAGATAACATCTTTATTCTTAAAATAAAGTATTTGTGGTTTATTTATAAAGGAAATATAAGCCAACTTCAAAGAAGTGAAGGTGTGAAAATGAAAAGTCCCAAAGCTGCTCTATATTGAAGATATATGTTTACATACTTAGGGCAGAGAAACAGCAGAGATGCATGAGGTCGAGGACGAGGTACAACAATTCCCTTTCTAAAGGAGATAGGAGCGCGAGTATTCTATCTCTTCCCTTGCTGGAGATGTAAGGATGAAAAGTGGCAATATTTTCAGGTTAAAAAGTTGCATTTTGTTGCCCATTATACATCTAGCAGCACTATTTAGAGTAGACTGCATATGCAAACTTCCTGTAGATGTGGCTACTTTAGGCTACAAACCACGTTGATGGTGCATTTTTATGTGTTACAAATTCTGATCTTGATATTTAAAAAGATTAAAAAAATCAATATTGCGGCACTTGTGTACCTTGTAAGGGTTAATATACTAAAATAAAGCTACGAGTTCTGCCAAAAAAGGCAGTTGTGACAGCTGCCCCTATTAACCACTTGCCTACCAGGCACTTATACCCCCTTATTTACCAGGCCAATTTTCAGCTTTCAGCGCTGCCGCACTTTGATTGACAATTGCGCGGTCATGCAACATTGTACCCATATGAAATTTTGATCATTTTTTTTCTCACAAATAGAGCTTTCTTTTGGTGGTATTTAATCGCCACTGGGCGCTTTACTTTTTGTGCTATAAAATAAAAAAAAGTGCAAAAAATTTGAAAAAAAAAAAAAAGTTTCTTTGTTTCTATTATAAAATTTTTCAAACAGGTATTTTTTCTCCTTCACTGATGTGCGTTGATGAGGCAGCACTGATGGGCACTGATAGGCAGCACTAAAGGGCACTGATAGGCAGTACTAATGAGGTGGCACGGATAGGCGGCACTGATAGACAGCACTAATGAGGTGTCACGGATAGGCGGCACTAATATGCAGCACTGATAGTCGGCACTGATAGGTGACACTGATGATGGGTACTGATAGACGGCACTGACTGGCATCACTGCTGGGCACTGACTGGCGGCACTGACTGGCACAACCCCTGGGCACTGACTGGTGGCACTGACTGGCAGCACTGCTGGGCTGCACTGGTGGGTGGCACTGGTGGGCAGCACTGCTGGGCTGCACTGGTGGGTGGCACTGGTGGGCAGCGCTGGTGGGTGGGTACAGGTGGGTGGGCACAGGTGGGTGGCACTGCTGGGCACAGGTAGGTGGCACTTCTGGGCACAGGTGTGTGACACTGCAGAGTGGCACAGGTGGGTGCACTGCTGGGCACAGGTGGGTGCACTGCTGGGCACAGGTGGGTGATCTGCTGGGCACAGGTGGGCGGGGCTAGTGGGCGCACTGCTGGGCACAGGTGGGCAGAACTTGCGGGTGGCACTGCTGGGCACCGATCATCAGGGCACTGATCATCAGTGCCCTGATGATCGGTGCCGATCCCCGCTCTGACAACTGCCGGTTCTCGGCGGTACTTTCCTCACGATCTGACAGCGTGAGGAAAGTGCAGCCGAGAACCGGCACTTGCATTTCCCTCTGATCAGCGTGTCATTGGACACCGCTGATCACGTGGTAAAAGGCCGCTGTGATTGGCCTTTTACCACATCACGTGATCAGCTGTGTCCGTAGGACACAGCGATCACGGAGATCGCCGGGTGCGCGCAGAGCGCGTTCTGGGAGGACGTCATATGACGTCCACTCAGAACTGGCCGGCCGCAGTGCAGCCGTCATTCGGCTCTCTGCGGTCGGCAACTAGTTAAGTGAATACACACTCTCAATACCAAAACCATAAATAGGCAGGCGATTGATCAATATATTACAACATATACATATGTGTCATGTACCATGAAAATTCAAATACAAATATATATATAAAGTGATCTCCCAACACCACATGTAATAGTAAATCTAATACAGGGTATGGTATAGTCCAGAAAATGTATATGAAAGAGTCCCATAGGAGGGTGTCACATTGATCCAATAGGTTCTTCTCCACCACTTGTGAGTAATAAATGAATTTCCCACTCAGCAGAAGGTGTTGACCCTCCACTCTGCGTGGTCAAATAACGCTAGGATGATCAAATGACATGCAGATTCCCAACTGAAGGCTCTCATATGGGGGGTCTCCAAGCTCCCCTTCTTGTAATAGTAGCTCTCAAGAAGCTCAAAATAAAAACGGATATCCATAAAATGTGCTCTAAATGTAGTATTTATTAGGAACCATGATTCATAAATTAAGTAAAAATGCACTCACATTTTATGTTGCCTGTAATGCCTATGAAGTGTGTTGGCCTTGGACCCTTTGTTTCTTGGGTCATTTTTACAATAAAGCATTGTTGCCCAAATGCAGGAGAACTTGGTGTCATTTCTCTAGGCCAAAGGAACAGAGTCACAAGATATTCTGCGGAGAGCAAGATAAAAACTTGTTTATGTTGGCTATGCCTTGCTGAGGAAGTGCTTTTTGCACGAAACGCGTCCAAGGGGCCATAACGCCATGACGTCCAGCCACCGACTCCTGTTATAGGTTCAGTGGCCTCCTTTAAATTTTTGTACAGTCAGTGTACGTGTTTTTATCAATTTTGGTTTTATCACTTTATTGCACCCACGTGGATTGATAAATTATTTTATCTAAATTACTACACTATGGGCTATTATTTTTGTTGACTCTTTTACGAGCCATCAATTCATCCCCAGAGCCCATACTCCATGGCATAGGAAGTATTTCCATACTTCTGACATCAACCTGCTACTACCAGAGGAATACATCAGGTCCAGTACAATTCAGCTAAGCTGTGTATCTCAGAGGCTTCCATGGTGGTATTCGGGGCTATCCCAGGAGTGACGTCCACTAACCAGACCAGACCAATACCAAGAGGGGGAGAGTACGTTACAACCGGTGCAGCTCATCCATCCTGTCAGGGACTGCGGGTCTTGCAGCAGAGCACAGGTCTGCACATACACAGATTACCTAGGTGCACTAATGTACAGGCACTAGGACCTGGGCGTTGGCGTCGGCAATTGCACCAATGACTGTGCAGGGCGCACTATTTAAACTGGCCAGACGGTGACTAGGTTGCCGCAAGGTCTAGTTCCTGTACCCGTGTTCTGAAGTGTGTTTCTGTTGCCGATCCTGCTTGTCCTGATTTATGTTGACCTCCTCCTGCTCTGACCCCCGGCTCGTCCCTGACTACTCTCCTGCCCGTTGTTATATTACCATTGGACCTCCCATTGCTGAACCTTGGCTCGTGACCCGGCTGCTCTCTGTCTACTGTTTGGTACCTACCTGCCTCCACCGTTACCGACCCGGCTAGTCTGACTACGCTCATTCCTGACTGTCATCCATCCATCCCGCTCAGGACCTGGACTTGTCAGCCTCTTCACAGCAGGCTCACCCCCCAGGCACGTACCCTCGGCGGGACCCCTCTACCACAGTTGGGTGCACTCAGGGGTCGCGACCTGGTTTCAGTCTTGCACCAAGTCCATCCCCACCATCAGGGGCTCTGGTGAAAAGGCAGACTGGGGCTTAGACTCCGCGCCCTGGGGAATCCTGTTCTGTGGGTCACTAGAGATCACGCCGGGCGGTGCCTGACACATCCCATGAGGGGGACCTCTGGTTATTGATTATATGCATACATAAAGCATATACATATGCATCTGGTGAGTGCGTATTTTAACTATTCTATCACCCCGCCACCTAGAACGTACAGTCACCAATATCTCCAGTATCCATCACTTATCACAGACTGTCACCATTTTATACATCGGTTTCACTGGGATTATTCATTCAGCTTATCCTATGGATTGTAATCATTCATTTATTTTGTTTTATCTTTAGCGCTGCACTTTCTTTTACAGAACTTTTTTATGTTAACTGAACGTGTTTATGACATCTAGTAACCTCACATTAGGAGATGAAAAAAGTGTTTTTTAAGACGTCTACTTGCTTGAGAAGTTACAAATCCTTAAGTCTGGGGTAGATGAGAAGTTTTGGGGTAGATAAGAAGCAAAAGTGTGACTTTTCAGATAACGAATACGGTGGTTGAACGTGACTCTGTTATCCTCGTGGAACCTTTCTGCTAGCTCCTCCTATGGTGGGTGTGGTGCCCGTCCACTATTGGACAGCTTCCAGAAAATTGGTTTAAAAGGTGGAGGTCCAGGCAAGACCAGTAGCAAAGCTCCCCTAGTGGCCAGAGGACGCTCCAACGCTGGGATTTTTGCCAAGGCTATATGGGCTCATCAACTGGTCATGCCTACGGCTTCTGCGTGACCCCCCGGGCAGTTTGGTTCCGATGGGATTTGTTCATCCCAGCTTCTAACATAGCTTCAGTAATGTATTAATTTTATGCTGTGATGCTGTCCAATGATGTGTCTATTTCATGTTGTAATGCTCACATTATTATTGGTGTGTGTTATTATGCAGATTGTGATGACTATAAGATATATCCTCCTGTGTGTTGTGTAATAATAAAAGTGGAGGATCTGACAGTTCAAGAGTATTGCAGTTGGGTTCTGTTATTTCTTGGAGTGCCGGGTGAAGGCTATGATGTGCCAGGACAGGTGTTCATCTGGTAGAGGGTCTTTTAGAATATGTAATGGTTCAAATGCTGATTAAAAGGTACCTGCATGACTACATGTTGATTGTGTGCGTGTAAATGACTTGCTTTTAGTTATTGCACCCAGCATTTTTATTACAGTGCCTGTATACCGTCACCAATTTGTACAGCCAATGTGGGGACAATACTCTCTCTGTATTTAGCCGGCGTGCGTTCCATGCCTCGTGTTAGTGAGCTGGACTTTTTTTTTCAAATGTGGGAGGCCTGCAGAACAACTTGTTATGGGCAGCCTGAGGTGTCCAGATGGCCCGTTTCCTGATTCCCCTGAAGCGTGGTTCCCTCCAAAGGATGGATTAAAACTGGCTGAGCTTGTATCTGGTGTGTGGGGACACCAGGATGATACATGCCGATGTGTGTGGGGTGTTTATTCACCCTGCAATTTTTTTGTGAATGTGTAACCAGGGGTATTATGTACCCCTTACTCATTCATATAGGAAGGGGGGGCTGGTATTTAGAGACCAACTTTAAAGGTTGCTTCCAGATCTAAAAACCCTGACTAAAGTAGACCCTCACATCTGCTGGGCGTGAGATGTGGGGAATGGTGGCAAGGTGCTTTGCCAGGGAGACCCCCTTAGGAAAGGTATCCTCCCCATGTTAATAGCATGTGGCCTGGTATGGTTTAAAGGGGAGGGGGAGGTTACATGCATGCTCAGATAAAGGACTAATATGGAATTTAAGTCGGAATCCAAAGCCATTTGTTTAATTTTTTTGTGTGTTGTCCCCCTTAAAATCCATATTAGGCCTAAAGGATCTTGTATAGATTTTGGGGGGGGGTCTCAAAATAAACAGTGAGTATTTTCCCCCAATGCCCTACTAGACCCTTATCTTAGATAGTGATCTGGCATGAATTTGTTGTCTGCTGTTAAACTGCTGCATGCAATAAAGATTTTGTGGATGAGAAAACAAGTGTTTGGTGAGTTCGGCGATCTGATAAGGACTCTCCGTGGCTGCTGGGTCTCTCAACATTCAGTAAAAGGCTGGGGCAGTAAAATTTAGTGGAACAGTATGGTTTGGTAATGGGCTGGGGTGGGTCGCTGACCAGGCTTGCGTAGTCTGTATGAATGTCCAGGGTATGGCTGTGCTGTCTGGCAGGATAATCGGGTCACAAGACTGTGAATGAGTTATAAAAAAAGTCCTTCAGTTTTATAGACAATCTTCACGCTCACGCCACTTTTGGTATTATCCTCTTTCATTTACCTTTTTTTTTTTTTTATAAATATTTATTAATTTTCAACCAAATACAAATCACAATCACCTTCTTCTATAAAAAAAAAAACATCAAGTCAATATATTCCAATTGACATAATTTATCTATATCCCACTTCCCCTACCCTTCCTTCCCCCCCCCCCCAACTCCTTCAATCTCCCCCCCCCTCCCACTCTGCATTTCCCTTCTCTTAAAACCATTTCTTTCATTTACTTAACCCCTTCGCGCCGACGTCACACAAATATGCGCCACACAGATTGCTCCCAGCACAAATATCATGGTGCCACTGAGAGCCCCGGGTCCCGTTCTAACGATCGGGACCTGGGACTCCCGATTCCGGTAACATGATCTCTGTGATACCCTCTGATTGGCTATCACAGTGATCAGTCACTGTACTGCCCGGCCCCCTTGTTTTTTTCTTTCTCTATGAGTGGAGGAGAGAGATACATTGTATCATTATATACATTCTATTATTATTATTATTATTATAGTGGACCTATATAGCACCAACAATTTGCTCAGCGCTTTACATTATGGAGGGAGACAATACAGCAACAATACAGTTCAATACAAGAGGGATTAGAGGGCCTGATCCTGGGAGCTTACAATCTAGGAGGGAGGGGCTAGTGGTACAAAAGGTAATTAGCTGTGGGGGATGGAGTGGTAGGAAGAGTAGAGGATTCCATTATTAGCTGGGGTTGGGGTAGGCT